GGCTTAATAACAGCAGATATGAGGAGTAACTGGGTTTCGATTAATTTCCTGAGATAACATTATTGTTAGGACTTTCATTTTGTATGAAAGCGTATGCAGAAGATATTCTAAGGTCGATCTCTCAAGAAGAGGGCTGTTGGATCCCGTTGTACTGCAGCAGTTTGGCTTTTATACGACGTTGAGATTGTTGTAGTCCACAAAACCTCCTCCCTCTTTCCAGGTGAAAATGTGTTGAGTTTTCGTCCATCATATCATGGACATCATCAGAGCTGGGACTCATTGTTGTAAAATTCTCAAGTTAACATTAAGACAAGAATACTATCCGGCTCTCTCTTACCTCTTCAAATCACTTCTTCATACACTTTCATAAGAAATGAAAGTCCCAACATTAATAGCAGCAATAATATACATTTTTAAGTTAAAGTGTCTGGTGAAGATATTCATAGCTTGACTCACCAGAGCGCAACAACTGAATTCAGTTATTTGTCAGTCGTTTGATATTACTATAACTTTCAAGCTGACTTAATTCAAGGGAAATTTGCCTTCGGGTTGGATGAAAAGGGACTGAGCTTTCGTCAGGAATCCAAATAAGACCGACCTACGAATATCTTCATCGGGGATTTTCACTCAAAAACAATGTCACCACAAAAATATTGTCTCTAGACATTCATCAAACCCCTGCTGCTCTTCGTACGTGCAACGTATGCACGGCTGAATTTCGTGTCATCTATTCCCTATACAAAAACCAATGAAATTCTCCTGGCAAGCCAATATAAATAAGCTTAAAAAGTTGTTTTCCCAATAAATTTGCACCTAAATAGTTTTTTCTTGATAGACGTTTTAATTTACACAGTTTTACTTATAGTGAGATGTAGCATGTAGAGTGGTCTGGTAAAGGCAGGTTTTAAAAAGGCAGTAAAAAGTGTTACAACTAATTTGCATTAAATAAGGGGAATTGTTTTAGTAACAAGATATGGTTCACTTTTTACAAGAGGCTATAGGTAGAGAAGGCAAGTTAATTATAGGCAGCTAAAGGACTATGATGTTAGAATCAGTTAAAGGGATGTATTAGATAGGGCAACAAGACTTGAATGCACTTCTAACAAGTTCAGCAAATATAGGGTTATTAAGTGGGCTGACCTCGTTTTCGCAACTTATTCTTGTCAGGGCGAGTTAGTTTAGCCCATATTTTCTGAAGTCTTCTGCAATAGTAACTAACATAAGTCCCAGCATCAGACGATAGGCTTGGTATTTGTATGGGCTTGAGAAACAGCGCATGGAGTAAAACTTACACTGGGACTGTGACCGAGTGAAATCGGTCAACCAGAAAGATAAGAAACTGATTTATGGGACTGAGGTAGAACCGGATAAGAGGTTCAATTCGGATTAACCGATCGAAAGAGGTCAAGAGGGGGGGTCAAGGTGAACAGCAGGCGTGATGAGTCCACACTATACTTTCCAAAAAGGGCACACTTTTTGACGAGTGAAATGTAACAAGTCAGAAGTTGTGATAGGGCGGAAGTTAGATAAGGGAGTAAATAGTAGATTGATGGACTAGAACAGAAATAGGAATGATAGTGCAACCGTTTCAGCAGAAAGTTGGTCGAGGGATTGACTTCACTTGTCTCTTTGACGAGTTCGTAGCTTGGTGCGGAGAATGGCAAAACTTACTTATGATGCCAAATACGATACCGGCGAAACGTTTGAGAATGTACTAAGTCCACTGTCTGAAGGCAACAATTACACCTAAATATTACATATTCAGTAAAGAAACTCTTATGAATTCGCAAAACTAGTGTACCAGGTAGTGATTTCGAAGCCACTTTAGAACATTTTTGTTGTATCCACGTATGTTAGCATTCCGACTTAGAGCCACATAAGCTCTAAAATAAATTCTAGAGGGACGCTCAGAGATCATGGAATAAATACTTTTAAGTATAGCCCCTTTTAAACTTACTAACCTATCCATGATTAGCACTTATTTCATTGTTTGAGCCAAGTTTTATGGACAAGTACAATGAGTAGCGACGGGACCTTAGTTAGCATTTCGAAAAATATAGATATGGCGAAATTCGGGAAAAGTTTAATGGAAGAGGTATTACTGGCCCAGATACATGGATAAATATATCGTGTTTTACAAATATTGTAGGGAATGTTGGAATATCTTTCATTTCGTTTGAGGAGACGAGTAGAAGGGATTCGTAAGTTAGTCTCACCGGAAGCTGTAGGGGAATTGCCTTGAAGCTGTGATAGTAGATTTAAGGTTAACGTGTTGAGATTACACACTGCACTGACAGGATTCGAGTCCCACTGGGGGTGTTGATAAGACCTGATGAGGTCGAAAATGAGGTCCAGCCTGAATGAGAACACTTTTTGGAAAGCAATGAAATTCAATGGAATCGTCAGCTTTACTCATATAAATGTGGGAAAATTGAATTACCAGTCCTTCATCACGTTAAATGAAATACGGTGAATACATTTCATATAAGTGATTTACTTGTAGTCTTGGAACCCTACTTATAATCGAAAAATAAAATAAAATAAATTTAATATGGATAGACAAGTCGAGACTTTTTTTATGTACCAAACTTTATTTTAATGCGTTCTTTTAAGCTAAACTTATAAAAAATCGAATCCTGATATTTTTTCAGCCTTCCATTTTTCAGAGCTAGATTTGAATCGTTATCAGAAAAATGGTGTTACACGATCGTGTGCTCAGGTGGTCAGCTTATTCACCCAAGGTAATCCAAATACAAAAAACTAGTAAAGCTTACTGGTTCCAGTGGTCAGAAATGGTTGAGTATAGGACAGAAACTGGACAAGGAATAGAATTATCGAAAATCATCGTTTTGTTGAGTATGTTGCAAAAATCGAAATGAGAGAGACTATCGAGATTAATAGATTAGGCAATATGTAATATTTAAGGAAAAGTAACTATAAAATTAGACAAGAATTACTAATGATTGACTAATATACTTAAGGGGCAAGAGAATGTTGAGAAGTCCACAAATAGTGAAGGCAACTCAACCGGTCGACAGAGCGATGATTCTAACCATATCAGACTCGTTCAACACATCTGCTAAGCTCATCAACTAAGCCAGAAGCGCGTTAAGAAGTACACAACCAGTCATCTTTTCCTTGCCTTAATGAGCCTTAATGGTCCTTGTCTGAGGCCACGCTCTGTTGTAATTACTTAGAGTTACGACCATCAGTTTCGTATCTTGGTTTACACCAAAGCAAATGCTACCATACACCCACAAACGCAAACACAAACACAAAAGTACTTAGATCGTAGACATGAAGACAAAGATATGGTGGCTTTAGATTTGGTCGCAATCTCATCTAGCTATATTGAATTGACATGATCTCGTTTTTACAATTCGGTCAGAGTGAAAGAGAGAGAAGACTGGGTAAGTTCTACGAGGTCCCCGTAACCTCGACCAAGTTGGGAAGAAGAGATCCCACCGACTCAATTAAAGTTCATAAAATAAAATTAAAAAGAATACCAGAAGCATTATAAATTTTTCAATCCGTTTTTATGTAGTGAGGATATATAAAGAGCTGATTAATCTTCTTGATTCAGCGATAATTTAACGATTCTGTATGCCAAAGGGCATATGGTTGGAAGCCATGAAAAAAATGTAATTTCCTAATTACTTAGTTACAGGTTAACAGAAGAGATGCTATAATATGAATTAAGGAAGATGGCTTACCTTGTCTGGACAGTCAATGAAAAAAACGCGACGCAGGTTCACTATATTATGCATTTCTTTGTCCCAGCCATAAAGATTATCCTCGTTCCGAGGAAAGCCATCTATAAGATAGTTTGAGCATCCAACTTCGGCATAGCCCTTTTCCATGGCCTTTTAAAAAGTATGTTAAAGGTGGACCCAAATGTAATGAAGCAAAGGATAAAAATCACGAAAACGGATAACAGATAACAGGATGTATGACCCAATAGAAACTTATAAAAAAGCTTGCGGGATTTTCGGTTATTACTGCTAAATTCATATTCAATAATTTCAGTCTCGAAATAAACTCATACCGAAAATAAGTAACTATGTTGATT